AGGAATATATTACAGATGAATACAAAAGAAAATCAAATAGAATTTTGCTTTAAGAAAATTATCATTAATTGTAACGGCTTATATATACGAAATAAGGTTATTTTTTTGCAAAAATTAAAAAGTTGACTGCTATGAAATAATTCCAAAGGGGAAAATTTAATGACCTGTTTTTTCCCTATCCGTTTGATATCAGAAATTCTGACTTCACATTGTTGTTTTTACCGATATATGAGTTTGATTTCGTTTCTTTTCTGAAAATTTATTCTTAACATATTCGATAACTATCCAATCTGTGTTTTTGTCAATTAATGTTTGCCTTTACTCAAAATGAATAAAATCTAATTTTAATGTCAGATCATCTGGAAGATTAGAGCCAAAAATCGAAATGCAACAACATAATACAGATTTCCAAAATTTTATTTTCAGGAACCTATACAGAACATAATCATCATTTTCAAACAATATATACAGAAAAGGTTTGCAGCTGTATAATTTACTTTATAGGAATGGAAATTTAATAAATTGTATTCTTTTAAAGTAAATATTGAAGTGAAATAATAAAGAAAATTCTAATATAAAATATCAGCTCACATAAAATGAATACATGTTAAAAATTTTAGCCAAAAAACATTGCTTTGGGTTTTATATTTACAATGTGTACTATACTTTTGGTATTTTTCTGTTATGCATCTGCCATGCCTTTTGGCGTCTGTGAAAAAGAAAAATACTTGCCGAGGCTCAACGATAGCACTGTCTGGGAAATATGTGTGTATGTGCATGTAAACAAGAATAATGGTACATGTTTCTGTTATCTGCCTTCAAATCTGGAAAGAGTAAGTCATTACGTCTGGGGGCTATTTTTATTCTCGAATTTTTTATTTTATTTTATTTATTTATTTATTTATTTATTTTTTTGAGTCTCTCCATGCGGCTCTTTGAATTATCATCCACTGAAAAAGGTTCGATAGAATATTTCCAACAATGTAGAATTCTCCCATGTAATCTAAAATAAATCTTTCTGACATGAATCTGTATATCATAGATAAAAGGATTCATCATAGATAAAAGGCCATGTAATGGCTGTCGAGAAGGTGTCAGTGTTTGAAAAGGTAACTGGTTTGAAACAACTCGTATCTCCACTTACATGCGCATTCAAATTTATTTATTTATTGTGTAAGGAACTGATCTCAATTCAATTTTGCCAAGACTAACTTGACATGTCACATAATACTTGGTTGATTGGAACAACTATTTACGCGAGATTTATACAGAAATTGATTTGGGACAGGAGAGGAAAGAAAAAATTATCCCTGGTCTAATTGTCGAAATAGACAAGAGTATATTTACCAAAAGAAAGAACAAGACCAGTCGCGTTTTCCAATAACAATGGATTTTTGGAAGGAATTTGTAGAGAGACGAGAGAAACATTTCTGGTAGTGGTAGGTTGTCTACTGCGATGCATCAAAGAAATATTAACGATGGAAAGACGATTTATCCAGACTGTTGGAAAGGGTACAAAACTCAGGAACTTAACGAAACTGGCTATTCCCATCTGAAAGTTAACAACAAACATAATTTCTCTCCGGAAACAGCGGCTCATGCAAAATTATCCAGTGTTTATTGGGATCGGCTAAAGAAATAAAATACAACGCGATATCGCAAGGCAGCATTTGACGTCCTATCTGCCAGAATTTATTTGGACAAAGAAACAAGAAGCAAGCGGGAGGAATTAATTTTGATTCCATTATAGAGGCAATAGGCAAAATGTTTCCACCTGAAATAAACACTAATGAGATACATTTCGCAAGAGAAGAAGGGTTTACATTAACTATATATAAGTCACGTGATCTCTGAGGTCATCTACATTGTTTGTTTACATTAGATGTACATAAGTCACATGACCTGTGAGGTCATCGGAATGTATCCATGGACTTTATAAGAAATAGACTAACCCAAATGGGTTTTCTCCCTCGTCTGAGGCGTTCCCGGCTGTCACTTTGATCACATCTGAAGGAGTAGGGACAACTTTTAAAAATTTAACTGTGGTTGCCTATTGCAGCGTGTATAATTGACAAGAAAGAGCTGGTTGTAGGGCTCATTTCACAAATTAGAATTTCTCCATATTTTTATTTTTGAAATTGAGATTGATTTTTAAAAATTTAGCATAGTTACCAAGCACAATTAACGTTCCAAATAATTATAAAGCTATTGCATGTTTTCAGGGCTGGATATTTTTTCGCTAATCCTATGCTGTCAGGAAATTTGTAACTACTTCTTTTAGAAAATAATATTTTGAATCTGAACTAATAGAAAATTTCAAACAAGCAATTTTCTCTTGCAATTTTTATGCTTTTTATTGGTGTAAATAAGTAAAAAATACTAAAATATTTAAAAACGAATTTTTGAAAGTTGTGTTTAAAATTCTAAACTGTGCTTCTTTTTTAAAATTATAGAACAATATTATAGCACAATTTCTATAAAGGAATTTTATTTCAATTATATATTAATAATAATCATAGTGATAAACACTTTTGACTCCTTAAAAATTTTTATACGTTTAATTCTAATATTAAAATTGCATTTAGCCGTAAAAATAAATTTTGCTTGTATTTTATTGTGATTATTTTTTTAAATTTATTTTTAGTTCTGCATATTTTTTTAAAATTTACTGTTAATTTAATTTATAAGCCCACAGGGGTGGTAGCCTAGAAAGGCTGTTGGTTTCGAAGGCGGCATTTTGCGCTGTTTTACTATAAATGTCCGTGTCTCCTTTCAAATTTTTGTTACCAAATATTATCGCCCTGTATTATATTTAAAGAAATTGAATAATGAAGAATCTGCATGAATACATGTATGTTTCTCGCACTGTGACAAAAACAACAGTATCTAGAGCCATCAAATTTTGAATAATGTAATCCTCCACATGAACATGGGCATTTGGACGGCCGAATTGCGAATTTGTTTTAACCTATTTTGTAAAACTTTAACGAATTTTTGATTAACAAACTCCACGAGTTCAGAGCGAGCACTGTACGGAAAATAACAGTTTTATCTCCAGCGCGGAAATTCGAAAGATATGCTGTTTTCAAATGTATGTGGTTTACGGGTGAAGAACATGATATTCAATAAATATAGGTAACACACAAAACGTTAAGAAAAGCTTACTTTTGGGCGTAAAATAAAATCTGAGTGCTTCTAGATTTTATTTTACTTTTTTTTCCCCTTCATTACATCAGAAAATTTTATGCTCCGAATTTTATAAATTACTAAAATAAATGTTCCACTTTAATGTTAGTAAGTTAATGATGATATAATAAAATAAATGATTGTTTTGCAATGTTATTATAGTTTTGAAAATGGTCATTAAATTAAAAAAATATAAGATCTTTTTTAATTTTTTCCTTATTTATTTCAAACCATCACGTACTATCAATCTTATTTAATTTTACGTTATTTGTACGCAAAATTAAGTTCATAAATTGTTGTGCTTAGAGTTTTTACCGTTTTACCAAAGTAAAGATGTTTGTACAAGAATTACGCGTGAAAAAAATGCGCGAAATGCAGTAAAAAGTGCTTTAATGAGATATATTAAATCCTATTTGGAAAAACTGTGGCTTTCATAATCTCATCACTATACAACGTATCACATTTAATAATTAAAAAGAGTTATGTGATACAAACGCCATAGGTTTCGGTGTTAAAGTAAACCAGATCGTCCCTACTCTTTCTTGCCGACATGTCGGTGACGCGCGCCCCGCTCAGTGGGTTAGTCTATCTCTTATAAGGTCCATGAATGTATCTCATTGACATGAGCAACCCCCTACCATTTTTATAGTTAAATTTATTTTTCTTATTGTCTTATTATTAATTATTATGTGTTATTATATCTCCTGTCCCAATTCATTTATTCTTACGATTTTACGATATTGCGGGCAGATAAAGGAAAAGTACCGAATAATTAAACACACACACATATATATATTTTTACAACAGTATTATAAAATGCGTAGCAAGTGAATAATGGAAAAGTACCATATTTTTTGTTGCTTAAAATTTTAAAATATATAGTAAATATGTGAAGAAATTAACACGCTTGATAACTTTTGGTAAATAAAATTTAAATAATCTTATTAAATTAGGTATTGCATTAATTTACATACTTTAAACAAACCTTAAAAATGTTCAACATTGAAAACGTTTTAATAGTAATAAATATTATTGCATATTGCAAATATATTCGGTTTAAATTACTTAAGCAAGATATATAATTTCAGCAAATACGTGCTTCTATTTCACTTTTTAATTTACATATATATGCGTATACCTGTATAATATTACAGCTTAAAAGTATGCAGGATTAATATTGATGTAATCACATAAATTTTTCTATGTGGAAAATTTAACTTTTCACATTATTAACCTTTTTACTTTAAATCATATGTTTAAAACTTTTCTTTTGAAGAGCTATATATTAAAAAATATTAACGAATAGTTGCAGAATTATATTTTATAAATCGTGTTTAATGAACATGAGAATTATACATTGACGCTGGTAATTGTAGAACATGTTTTTCTACTATTCTTGCAAAAACGAATTTAAACTATAATTTGGAAGTAAACTAGAAGGACGTTTTTACTACTAAAATGGCATAATCTTTAAAAAACTATAACATGTAGAATTTTCAGTGTAATAAAAATTTTAATTCTGAAGTTTTCTTCTATGAATTTGAAGAAATTCTAAAAGAAGTATTGAATTAGTAAATCTTTTAGCAGTATTATACTTTACTACTAAATGGTACTGTAACATTAAATTTTTGAAAATGAAAATAAATTCTGCACTCTAAAAATAAAATATAATAAAAAACTAAAATGATAAAAACTTAGTACATTTTACTCTTTCGAAATAAAATAAAATTTAACTTCTAAAATATGGTGATAAATTTTCGTTTTTAAAAACATGTCTAAACACTAAAAACAACAAATAAATAACAAGAAATATATGCTCTTTATGACCATCTTTATTGAATTTAATTTGTTGCCAACCTGAAAATATTTTCTTTACAAATTCTCATCACTTGAATATCTTTATTCATATTTTTGTATCTGAATTCTAGTAGAAAATACAAATGTGATTGTATAAATCATTAAAAAGTAAATTATAACCATCTCAAAGCCGAAAACAGGAAATATAATTTATTAACCATACCGTCATAACACATTCATTTTGAAGTGATTTTCACAATATACAGCGCGCTATAGTTTTTATTGTAGTGAAAATCACTACACATATATTTTTAAATAAAATACTTTTAGCTGTCTGAAATATTTCACTATGGATAACACTAAGATTGCCAACGCACAACCTCACAGTCTCAAATACTGATGAATTCATCTCCTAAGTAGATGAACAGCAACTACAAAGTGAAAAGGAAACCAGCAGTGTTAGTTTCCAGCGTTTTTACTTGCTGTACAGCCTCGACTGGACCTTTCGATTTTGTACTCTATGACCAGAAATAAGGAGCTGTACAGATATCTTACTTATTTCATTGTCCAGTAGATATCTTCAAATATAAGCTGCACCAATTACACATTGGACGGCATTTATTGACTTAGAAATATGCTGCATTTATTCAAAATTAACTAATAACCGTCTACTTCTCCACCTTTTCTATAATCGGAGTTAGCATAAAGATAGCCATCTTTATCTCTAGTAATACCCATAACTATTCCAATCATGCCAGCTCCCAAGTGATGTGTCTTATGGCCCATCTTTCTCAAGTCTTCTAGAAGATCCTGAAAACAGTATAAATATTAAATCATTATTAAATATCTTTGTTTTTAATTCAATGCATGGCATTTTATTTACAACTTGAAAAAGTGAATTAATTAGTTTTGAGAAATACTAATTCAATAATTATTTTATGATAAAAATCATATAATAAAATAAATATATTAAAAACTTCAATTTATTATTTAATTTGTTAAGATATTTTTAATTAGTCATCTGATTACACTGAATGAGAAAAATAGTGGTGATGAAATATCATTAAAAATCTAAATGAAATACTATTCAAGAGAATGTAACTTTAAGGCTAGTGCCTGAGACTATTTTCAAAATGCTAGATTTCTGAAATGTTCCTCTAAATGGGGCTGAAATATATAAATAATCAGCGAATTGATAACGAGACGAATTTGTGGGAATGTGTCAGTTTGATTAAAAGCATAGGGAGCCTGAACTCCTGAGAGAAGCATAAAATCTTCTTCGCCCAATTTTACAAATTCAATCTTCCCAATATTTTTCTTTCAGAATTAACAACTATCTTCTTTTCTTAAAGCTCTACCTCTGGCCAAGGCTCCTTCAGTCAGCTTCTGGCATCTTGACCCATCCGACGCCACAATCCTCAACATTATTGATACCAACGTTCTTTAACCACTTTTCCACAATGTCTAGACACCTCGTTCGTGATCTTTCTCTCCTTCTCTTTCTTTCTGGCTTTTGAAATGTCAATCTCTTCGCTGGGTTTTTATCTCCCTATGTGTGTATATGGCCTAGCCATCTTAGTTAAGAGGCTTTAATAACTTTTATTATATTTGTTCTCTAAAATTTTGGTGCAGTTAAAAATTATGTCTTATGTCTTAATGCTGTTTCAGACCATCCCATTTGTACTGATTCCCTATCATCATTGGAGATCCTAAAATGTATTCCTTCCTCTAATAATATCAATATCGAGATTCAGAAACAACTGAAACACCTAAAAGATAAAATATTTCGGTTGCATTTACATTTGTTCGTGGTCATATAGGTGTTGTTGGGAACGAACAAGCCGATTTCCTTGCGAAGACTGCGACTAAGCGGGAAATTGACACTTTTGTCAATATCCCTAATTACTTTTATAAGAAGGTCATGTATGAAACTATTATGGAGTCGTGGAACCACAAATTCATTAGCTCAAATAAAGGGAGCTTAACTAAGAGATTTTTCCCTTCCATCAAAATGAGATTGTCATGTCATCACTTCTTCACAAACTATAAATTAACCCAATTTCTTACTGTCCATGGAAATTTCAAAAGTTATCTGAGCAGATTTAAGTTGATCAAAGAGTCTGTGATTGTAACCTCGATGGCGAGCAAAATGTTGAACATGTGCTTCTTATATGTCCTAAATCTGAGAGCGAAAGACAAGTCTTGAAACTGGGAATGAAAAATTTTAATATTAACTGGCCTCCAGAATTTTACCAATTTATTTCTGAGAGAAGTGTCTTTAACAGTTTTTGTCAGTTCATTGTAAAACTTTGTAATCATTCTTAATTTTGTTTCAGTTTTCTCTTCTGTTTATTTTGTATTGTGTTTCATACTTACTTCTGTAAGTCCCATGTGATGCTATGTGGTATATGGGAAACTTCTTGTGTTTCTTTTAATAATAATAAACAAAAAATTCTCCACACTCCATTTTCTTTTACTGATCCAAAAATTCTTCTCAAATCTTTCTTTCAAATGTTATTACTCAATCCTCATCTGCTTTATTCATCGTCCAGCACTCACTTTCATACAACATTGTAGGTTTTACTAGGGTTTTATTTACGACTGCATAAACTGGTTTCGTGATCCATAATAGCATCTGTTAACCATGTTAATTCGGTTCTTGATTTCAGTAGTTATATCATTATTATTTACAACTGTACTCAAATATTTAAATTGTTGGAATCATTTATTTTCAGCTGTATCACGTTATGTCCTCTGTTTGTAATCCTGAACTTAGTTTTTTCTTCAATAGCAATCAAACCAATATTTTTTTGGTGCCGACTCAAGTATATATAAAGCCTCAACTATTGCCGCCTTCGTTCTTCCCACGATGTCAATGTCATCAGCAAAAGCCAACAACTGCACAGATTTTATGAATATAGTCTTTTGTATTTGCATGCTCTCTTTATGAATATAGTTTCGTATTGCTTTTTCAAGGGAGATATTAAACAGCTGGCAGGAAAAAGAATCTCCTCGATTTAATCTTTTTTCAGTATAATTAAGAATTATATTAAACTAAATATAACGATATAAGAGAAGATGCGAATGTTCATACTTTACCTTACATACAATTTATACATGTTTATCTAAATATAGAAGCACGTGTTATAATTTGCATAAATACACTTTTGATACACGATACATAAATGCATAATACATAAATACAAAAGTTCGATAGTCCGGCATGCAATGGTTCGGCACACCCGATAGTTTGTCATCAGTGCTGCCAATTTTCTCCCACAGAGGAATAAAAGTACTGAGCGGAAGAAACAGGGTTCTCCCTACTAGAGATGGAAATGGAAATATGAATAAAAATGGAACAAATATAATTTTGGAACATATTTATATTATTAGATCTATATTTTATTCACATGTAGCACTGCTGTAATAAAAATTAAACTATTTGTCAATGTCATTCAGCTAGCCTCATTTATATTCTTATCAATAATTTTTTCTTAGTTACTTACATTTGGAAATATTTGGGGAGGGAGTATACTTTCTAAAAAGCAATCTGGCAAAACAGAACATTTTCTTTATCGATACAGTAAATTATTTTGTAATTCTGAATGTATTAATTTAAAATAGGAGAAAACTGATTCTAATTCTGTTGAACTTTAATCTAAACTGCATTACGCAATTCATATGAAATTTCATAAATGAATTTCTTTTCTATTATATACCATTTAATGTATTACATCAGCTTAAAGTAAGATTTTGGAAATGGTATATCCTCAGCAGGATTAGTAAGTTTCTTCCATTGTGGAGAAAACTTGCTAGAAAAAAAAATTTTTTTTTTTTAGTTTTTATTTTGAATTAATATTATAATGTTCATATTTTATTCATATATAACTACTATATTTCCGATGAATTTAATAATTTTCATTGTATGGATTTTTTGCATTTTATTGCAAAAATGATAAAACATTTACTTTCAAATAAGTTAAATTGTTATTTGTAAATTTATTCCTGTTAGGAGCTTCACAGATACATCAATGCTCATTTCTTCCAGCTTCTTCCATTCTTTCCCTTTTCTTTCGGTTTCTTCCGCAGCTCTAGAGCAAATATATTTCTTCTGGAGGAGGTCCAACCCTACTCGGTACCCTTTTCACTGAGGTTTGTGCTATATGATGGCTTATGAATATTAAATTCGACATATTCGGAAAGGCTTTGCAGTTGAAACATGTCTTTTTGCCATTTTCGATTGATCTTTGAATTGAATTTCGAGTTTGTGTGCTGTTACTTATCTCACTTGTCTGACAGTAATACCTGAACAAGTCCTGGCGAGAAGAGCAGAATTACTTCCGTTATTGGGCATGGACACCATACAGGTGAGGGTACGATCCTGTCTGCCTCGTTCTAATTTTAAAGAAGAATCCCACGGGACACAGATTCTAGGATCACCCGTTTCTCCTCCCCCCCCTCACCAAACTTCTCGAGAGACTTTCGGCTCGTTTGTGTTGTGTGTGATCACTTAACCTGGCGACTTCTCGCACAGGTGCGAAGATGAGCACAACAGACCCTTTATTTATCACAAACTGTATAACAGAAAGCACAGACTTACGTACTTGCACAGAAACACCGTCCACTTGCGGTGAGAACTTAAATGCAGTTTAACAATTAATTTAAAGGTAGAGATGGAGTGCTTGACTATACAATTCAATTTAATCTGATATACTGACTCAGAAACCTACACCGACGATATACTAACTAGCTGATCAGAATGCGTAGCCGCTGGTAAGATTAACAGCTGGAAGACAAAATAGCAAACGCGCGCTTCACTAGTAAAATCATGCTTTGTCTAACCTTTCCGTTTCATCAGTTTAAATACTCTCGTTCACCTACTTAATTTGCATTATGACAAGGAAATGCGAGGGAAAATAAGAGAATTCAGAAAAGGCTCAAAAATTAAAATAACTGTTAGTTCAATTAAACAGGCCGATATTGTGTATTTAGATGCTCCTGTGCCGTAAAGACACTATACATTTACAGACATCCAAGCCTTCTCCGGGATGCGTATCCGAGCCTAAAGATATGACAATCAGCATCACTAAACACTATAACGAACAGGGTGGCAATTTCGAGTTTAAGTGTCATATAATTTCTTCATCTCTTCATCCCTATTTATTTAAAATATTTTCAAAACGTGACAAAATTGTTGATAAGGGAATGAAACGAAAATATATGACTTCAAATATATGACTTTTGACAAAATTTATCAAAAGATGGATATTATGAACCCCTTTGTACCATCTGCTAAAATAACGTTGAGAAGCTCGGTCCTCCTAGAATGTTTAAGAATTCTAAGATTTTGACAACGCGTCTTACAGTCTCTGAACTTGTACCGAGAACCGTTTCATATTTTCTCACAAAGTTAATGTCTTAATCTAATCCACGGTTCAAATGTTTATGTAAAACTTTAAATAGACATATAGGAATTTATTTGCGCAAAATTCATTAAACCCTGATCGTAGTTCATTTAAATAAAAAAATGCAATGTTAAGGTTACTATTGATCGGAAACATGTAAACAACACAACGCTATCAAAAGCTTGAAGGAATTAGTGGCCAAATCTCACGAAAGTAAATTCTGTCGAAGAACTCGAGAATATTGATGATTCCAATGGTCAACCACCCTCATCTATTAAAAACTGATGAAATAGTCCGATAATAATGCTTTCGAAAGTATACTGTTTGATTGGATTGTAAACTACGAAAATGAACTAGTCACGGAAGAGTTAAAGCTCAAACCGTTTTGAATGGACAGTAACAAAAAGAAGCGGATAGTTAAAAACATTACTAAACTAAGACCACTTAGCATGAGGCTGATGAAGCATTAAATACATTTGCGAAAGTAACCGAAAAACAGAAAAAATATAATATTGGAGAAATAATATTTGAAGATTTTGTAACTTGGCAGCAGTAATGGTTTATAGGAGAAAAGGAGGAATTAAGTATAAATTAAGTATGAACAAATTTATTTTATCAAGGACTTCCTGCAACATAAAAGAACCTGAAATTTCATTAAAAATGTCATGGATATTGCAAATAAATGCAAATGAAACAAATATCCGATAAATATACTAAAACTTACACTAGATGCAATGCAAATCATTGACTATGAGATGAAGTATTTTCTTTTGTTGCAAGATGTTTCATCTCTGTGTACCATGTGATGCTTCTTACTGTGCGTGCAGCTACTGACGATTACCTCCTGTCAAGATCAGAAGCCAAATTACCTCCCATCTGAAATTTGAGGAACTCTTCCTATTCCTGTGATTACAAAGCCAAATAAGCCTGTAAGTTTTATTTCATTCCTGCTCAGATGATGTACTGAATTCAGAATGTCTTTCCTTTTTCTCGCTTTAACTTTTAAGATTCTCCGAAGGAGTCTACTTCATGATCTCTCCACTCGTCAAATCCCCACATGGGGTAAATTGAGACAATTGGAAAGCTCTAATTTCTAATTAGCAGACACCAGTTATACGAATGTACAAATAAATTAATTTACTAATAAGTTTTACTCTGTAAGGGGTATTTTAATTTTATAACAGTTATTTTAATTTTAAAACACTTTTCTCTTTCAATTCTCGTTTCCCACTTACAACTCCCTACCAGAATGAGGTTTTAGAATCGCGTTGAATGTAAATGAGTTAGGTGTAGTATTTATTGGAAGTTCAACTAACTTCGATAGAGAGTACTAGTAGTCTTTAGTGGCGCGTGCTTGCCTTCTGGCTAATTAATTATTGAAGCTGTTACGCCCGGCCATATTATACATGCCTATTTATATTCGCTGGTTAGTTTAATTTAAGGGCCAACCACGTTAGATAATTGCGTTTAGCTTCGACTAAGTCTATTTTAGTTCATAGTAGATTAGTTTCTTCTTTTCTTATTCTGAGTTAAAGCCTGAGTAGAGGCTTTCCTGTAAGCCCGAGAAGGGGCCGGCTGTATTATTTATTTGAGTGAATAAAAGGGTATATTAACCCTTATCGAGTGTACGTCTTAATTGTCTGAACTCGACGATAAGCCGCTACGTAGTTCATTAGGTTCCTCGGTGTTTCAGCATAGACAAAGGGTGAGGAACATCACAACTCAGTGAATATCTTTTCGGAATACAATATAGAGACCATTACATGTATATTGTACAGTAGTATTCTCTCTTTTATACACACATATATATATATATATATGTGTGTGTGTGTGTGTGTGTGTATTAATACATTAACCGACATGTAAAAATCGCTTTGCGGTATTTTAAAATTTTAGTCCGATAATTCAGCGTATTTGATAATTCGGCATGACTGAAGACCGAAGCGTGCCGGCTTATAGAACTTTTGCTAAATTTTACGCCCTTTCTCTGATATTCGCAGTTGGTTTAACTTATAAGGAAAAGGCTCTTACTTCCGGAAAAAGATTTTCGTGTTCAATGTAATTAGGCAAAAGCTGATGATGCAATCGTGGGCCATCTATAGATCTTTTAACGTTATCTCCCAACCATAGGTTTCTCAAAATAACCTGAAAAGAAAAACAAATTAAAAAAATTTTTGATTTCAGTGATAACATCTTTAAAATAAAAGGAAGAAGAATATATATTCAGAGGAATGCTTATTCTTTTAAATGCTTCTATTTAACTAGTTTCATATATTTGTTTGCCGCCCATCAAATACTAAAATATAAGATTATAAGAAATATTAAAACAGAAGCCATAACATATACTTTATTTCCACTGAACTTAGGAAAGTGCAGATGGAAACGCCATAAATAGACATTATTTTAATAGTTTTAAAATTAATTGTCATTAAATCCACCGTAATGGAATTTAAAGATTTTTATTCTTTTTACAGTATCTCAGAAATGAAAGGCTGAACACACATTTCTTCTGCCATGAAAAGTTTCCTCATTTTTTCTGAACACTTAAAATTTAGTGGTCATCGTGGATTCTTCATCTTAAAATTGATAACTTTCATTACCTCATAAAAAACATAATATTACTGCAACAAGGGCATTTTAGAGATACTGAAGCAAGTGAATGAAAACAATTATCTCCAAGAAACTAAAGATTAATGTAAAATGTAGAAAGGCGGCCTAACCGTCAGATTGCTAGCAATGACTAGGATGAGTTCCTAACACTATAGTGCCCATAACTTAGACTGTTGGAACAGGTTAAGTAAAGTCACCATATATTTCATAAACAAAGCAAAGGAACATTCTGGAGGCGTTTCGCCTGTTGATTATCTCTTCAGTGTAGAATGACTTTTATCTGAATCGTCTGCATATTAAATTGCTTTTTAATTAGGAATATATACTTACGCACAGCGCGCAAAATACAATTGAACAGTTTTTCTAACCTGAGCAATACTTGTGGTTATTTGCGTTCCTCCATTTGCACCAAGAGTCAGTCTCACATCTCCATTGGGATCGACGATGATTGTTGGAGTCATGGATGACATGGGTCGTTTCCCGGGTCGGATGAAATTCTTGTTGCCAGGTGGAACACCGAAGTAATTGGTAATGTTGGGAGAAACGAAGTCATCCATCTCATCATTAAGGATTATTCCTGTGGACTGTGACATTACCATACTCCCAAAGCTGAAAGAAAACACAAAATATTGAAAAGCCTTCATATTTAACAAAGAAATAATGGTTTTAAAGGTTTCTATGACTAATTTTCTGTGCTAATTGGAATGTTTATTACAATTTCATGCTTCGATGAGTTATTAGATTGATTTTATTATGCTTTATCTCATTCTCTGATGAGTTATTAGAATTATGGAATATAAATAGCTGTGACGAACATTAAGTTTTCTCTGTTTACATAAGGAGATATTTTACTTTTTAACAACAAGAACAACAATAATAATATAAAAATGTATAAGAAAATATAAAAACGTAAAAGTAAAATGATTGCAATTTGACCTTGATGTACAGATTTTAATTTAAGATCTGAAACTATTCAAACTAAGCGGTTACAATAGCCACATTAGTTTCAAAATTAGATTCCCCCATAATTAAAGAAACAGAATATAAAATTTTATATTTAGAATGGGCTGTTCAAAATGGCTAAGCCAAATATTAAAAAAATAGCTGTGATATTATTTCATCATTAACTAATTTCACGTGGACAGTTGTGAACTTATTCAATAAAGAATGAACTTAATGACTCAAAATATAGCTGTGCATTAATTTCACTGGATCACGTGCGCGCGAAGCTTGAGACAAGCATTTCTTTCAATATACCTTTTATTTTGCCAGAAGGCGAAATTTGATTACCGAAAATAATCAATAACGTTTTTAGGTATTTAATAGTAATACAACCGCGTCCTAAAATTAATAAATTTTTAGCTCTTTTACAGAAGTATTTTCGTTCATTGAAAATCATCAAGCACAATTGTTATTCCTTTCTGCTATTAGAAAAATATAATATACAAGCAAAACCAAAATTTCCATAACTAAAGTAATATGATTGAAACCAAACATAAAATATGCTTAAATATGTGAAATATATCTCATATATAAGCTTATTATATATGACTATCGCATAGCTGCAGATTAAACCATGAAAAAAGATTCTAACAAACAATATGCGAAATGGGATTTTTCAGTATGATACAAATGAAATTACAAAATTATCAAAGATTACACTTAAAAACAAAGCATATGAGACTGCTTGTTTATCTATACGAAATAAAAGTTAGTAGGAAAAAACTGACTGCAAAGACATTACCAAAATTGAATACATTTAATACAAGTTACAATTTTTAATAGCTGTACAACTACTGTGATAAAGAAGTATCAGGAATGATTCCATAAAACTACAAGATTTCAATAATTGGTTAGTACTTATTACATCCCCTTCAAAGAAATCCCTTCCAGTTACAGTGCATTTATAATGACGTTTTTTTCCATCTTTGAAATGAATCGATTTATGAAGCACCTTCAGAGCTGCAGAAATTTTTTTTATTGCATCAATAGATTGAAAATGTGTTCCATTCAACGGCAAAAATAAGAAAATGTTAATGCAGATCAAGTGACTATGGCATCCTGTTTACAGATCTGTATTTGTTGAATATTTAGCTTGTAGATTCGTCAGTAAGAGCATTACGGTAAGCTGCATTATCGCCGAGCAAAATTCATGAGTAATTTTTCTACAATTCCGGTTGTTTTTTACGCATTGTTTCACGCAAACACACAAAAAAACTCAAATGATGTTCTTTGTTTCACGAGTAGTTGGGCACACGACAAGATCACGGCAATCAAAATTAGCTTTATATTTTAAAGGCGTCTTATTCATTTTTCAGTTTTGCTTCCCCTTTCTCTGGGTTGTTTTGGCTGCTTCTAAATGTTTGTCACTGATAATAATTGCGGTTTTAGAAGCATCTCTTGAGTTACTTAAAGACATTATTATTTTTGAAATAATAAAGTGCTTTCGAATAACTCCAGAAACTATAGCGACATGCCGAAATGATCTCTCAAAAGTGTTTGGCAAAATTTAAATGGTGTAGAAACTCATTCAATATTGTACCTAATTACGAAAAAACAATAACTAAGACCAAAGTGACTCAGTTAGTGACCAATGTTAATCGTTGTTTAATATAAATGACTAATCCAGAAATAGACAAAAAGGAATGTCGGAAGGGGTGTTGCACAGGGCGATATAAGCTCAGCAGTTCGGTGAAAGCTATTGCACACTGTACAGTGAGATGAGGTCCTGAGCTACTGCACAATGTACAGTGAAATGAGGACGTTACCTGAAGTCCTGTCATTGGGAAGCTGGAAGAACGTCGAAGTATGACATGTGTAGCGAATAAGTTTGACATCGCTTAAAGCAGCATGTTTTTAAAATACTCTAAAGTAGCATCAATCAGCTTGGTGACGAAGAATCGTGTAAGACGTACTGCTGATCACTCTTGACCTACTGCGCTGAGAATTCTATGGTGATTTAGTGTTACCCTAGAGTACACGAAAAATGTTCGATGCGATAATATTGATGACGAGCTTAAGGAGATTACTGATTCCGAAAAATCGACTCATTCTACTAAGAAATTCCCTCTACGCAAAGCTTATTTTCTTGCCTCACCTGATGACAAGAGGAGCAAAAAGAAAAAGAAAACTTGCACTTCATCGGAAAAAGGAAAAAAAAGAGAGGGGGCTGAAAAGGTTGAGAAGAGAGCAATGATCCCATTGAATGACAAGCAGATTGAAAAACTCATGAAAGGATATGGATATGATGCTGTTTTGTAAGTTATACGCGACCAGTAACCTGATCTGGACCTGGAAGCTTACGAGAAGAAATTTTGCCCCAAAACGCCACAACAGAAAGCTGAAGATGAACGGATTGTAGCGCTTTATATCACTGTACTTTTGTGTGAACTAAAGCTTTTGGTATGTATAGCTTTAAATTTCTTGGAGAAATATTTTTCTTGCTTGATTCAGCGGAAAAATCTTATATTTACAAGAAAGAAAGGTATTGTATTTCTATTTTTGCATCACAATAAGAGTATTGTTGCAACTTAAACATGGACTCGAATTCATCGGAAGTGCTTTTATGACAATTCTCACGGAATGATTATTTAAAATTACACTTTATCCGTAATTTTCATCAGAATGAAGATTAGACTATTTTGAAAGTTGCATTGTTATGTGAATCTTTAAAACAAAATGCATGTAGATTGGCTAATAAGGGCCTAGATTGGCTAATAAGGTAATTAAAGTACATACTACAAGTTGATTGTAGAAGTGACTGATACAGCGTCACCGTTGGGAGCTACTATCGATACATGGGCAGTTCCGTGATCCTCTTGTACTGTGACATTAATCCCGTAGTGATCTACATTGTTATACGTTTTTGTATCGTCGATGAGGCTACGGATGTAATCAGCATATTCGTGGGATGTCAAATTTTTCATAAGCTGCAAAGAAAAAAAAAGAAAAAAAAAAAATAAAATAAAATCTGTAAATACGATGTATGGAGCTACAATAATTTTGCATGTGATTATTTTTTCTTCTATAATATTTTCTTAATTAACAATGAAGACATAAAAATGCTATAGTACAGCCAAATTTAATTCAGATAACATAGGAACTTAATAATTAATTTTCATAGCTATAAAAAAACTTACATAAATTACCGAATTAGATCTTGCTAATGTTAGTTTTTTAGTGCCTGTGAAATGCATGTAGCATGTTTTAGTCTGTTACTTTAAAACAGGCATTTCGAGGCAACTGCCAACTCCCTTCCCATTTGAGTAACTCGTGTCATCATCGCTGCATAGCATTTATTTTCTCCACGTCACTTAGACTGTAATTGTCAGTCTTTCTTCGCCCGCTTTTCATGCAGTGAAACACGCTAAACGGAAATGAAGTTGGGAGATTAAGCGATTCGATCTTTTTCTCACAACCCAAAACGGCCCATGGTTACAGGTCAAATCGGACAGTGGTGGTGTGGGGCGGTGTGGTGTATTTAATTATGGCAAAGCACACTAGGGCTATCTGCCTAAGGAAGGGATGCCTTCGTGGAGGACTCTCTAAGGGAAACTGGCTCGTATACACGTCACACATGGTGAAAACCACGAAAACACCCATGCAGCCAGTCCGTTCGCGAGATTCGAACCTCGGACCGAACTACCAGTGTTCAGCGACTTTACCGCTATGCCGCTGGAGTGGACACCGGAAGTGGAAAAAAGCCTTTAAGTTTTTTCTTGAAGTAATAGACACGGTACACGAAATAGTGTCTACAAATATCTTACACGAAACATATTAGTTACGAACATACGGACTTCCAGTGGAATTCGTACATATAACCTCCTCGTGTGTAACAGCAAACACTACTGCTACGATTGAATACTTATCATAATGTGCAGATGCATTTTTTAACTTTCAGTAATATATTGCTTTTTAAATAAAATGGAGTCGCACCATCTGAGTAGTAGCAATTCTAGAAAATGTAGTAGAATTCAGAAATATCTTCCTTCTGTAAGACTTATGATATTAATTATGATTATGGACTCATTATAATTATGATTATGGACTCATGTAGAAATATCTTCATAATTTCACAAATATTAGATAATTCAGAAAAAAAATGTTCCAGAATTCAATAATTTAGATATATCTTCTTGCTGTACAATTTATAACAACTTCTGTATAATTTATAAAAATTTATAATTAACTTGTACCGGATTTCGTTATTCTACAGTATGGCGCAAAAATCTTCATATATAGGGAACTACTATTTTTTTTTTTCTTATTGCAGGGTAAATTTTGCTACAGAAGTCAAAGCCTTGCTGCACGTAATAATATACATTAGATTTTCTTATCTATGAGAAATTTTGCGTCGTTTGTATATTTTACAAATCTTCAAACCATTTCTGAATTATACCCATTTCTCATTGCAGTGCAACAATTCAACATTCCCTTCGTATTTTAGAGCACGTGCTAAGCACTAGAATACGTGCTCTAGTACATCTAATATCTTTTAGTGCTCTTTTACTTTACCTCAAAGTTTAAACCGTTTTAGACAAACAGCGCTTCTGAGATAACGCCCATTTGGGCTAAAAAAAGATATATATTTAATGAATTAGTTCACTTTGAAGGAGAATACTTTTATGTTTATTAATTAATGTTTAAGATCATTAATAATAAAAATAAGTGATAAGATATTTTTTATCATAGGAATGTTCTGATTTTATTAACATTTTAAATGATATTTTTAAACAAATTTTAGTTCGTTAAATTTTTATCTTATTTAATTAATTAATTTTGGTTTATTTAATTTATTTTAATTAAATTGAGAGTAAAATGTTTCAGTTAATTTTGTTTTAATGATCTTGTGCGTAAATATTGTAAGTAATATAAATAAAGCCTAAGGAATAATATTATAATTGATGTCTTAAATTATAACAAGACGTAGTTTTTCTGTTTCCTGTTATTTTCTTAGAATTATATAACGCATTTCAATGTATATCACAAAGATGAATACCGAAGAACGTTATTTGCATTAGATAACCCTCCATAACGATCTAACCTCGGCCTAGACTTCTAAGATGTAACTTACAAATTCTGCCTATTTATATAAAAGTTTATTTTACATTATTTGCTTTATGTATTTCATAATACTTTGAACTCTTTCATAATATGCATGAGATATAAGTATTTAAATGCGGGAGAGGGAGAGGGGGTAAGAGACTGTGTAACATAAACTGTTTTCGTAGAATCTTATTTTTTGAATTTCTGATGAAATTCATGTTTCTGTTACAAATCAATGCTGTTTATCATGTTTTATGGAATAATGTACGTCTCACTCTCTCAAACTCGATTCCCTGTTTCTTAACATTCGATTCCCTGTTTCTTAACATTCAATGTAACTCGAAGATTGTGTTTTCTAATCGCTAAATGATTCCTGTTGCTCAAGTAGGCATATTATCTTTGAAATAATAGGGTGGTTTATTAATAGCTAGACAGTAGTAATTTCTAGCATTGCCTATACGGTTCAAACAGTATCAGTACATTTTAATTATTGTATTATTGTAATTACGCTACATATTTAGGCGTATGAATGTCCGCATGATTTCCTGTTCTTTTCAAAAATTTGTTATGGTATTTTAATTTTGTAATTTTTCTTTCATTCATTCTCATTCGTTTCTCTATACAATGAATTTTATTATATCTTTATCTTCTTTTCATGGAAATTTCAATCTACCCCATTTCTATTCTCAGTAGCGAAGTGGCGGAAGAAAATCAAGCAGCTGACGTCAATTAATCACGTTCGTTTCTGTTGCTGGCCGTTAATTGGCTTGTCTGAAGGTTTATGGCTGTAGCTTTCAGTACATTCTGAATAGAGTTTCTCAGCTTATATCCAAGCTTACAAGTAATGTGTTTATGATGTCTCAGAAAGTAAAAATGTGAAAACAGAAGAAAGGAAAAATGGACAATTAAATGAAATTACTAGATGCTTTAAGATATTATACAAAGTGGAAAGAATTAATGAATTGCTTTGAATTTAGATATTGAGCGAAATAATATAATTTTCTTCCATAAAACACGACATATTTGATAACTCATCATCTTCTCAATCCACATTAAGTGGAGTTTGCACGACTCTACTCTACTACTCTACTTTTTCATTACATGCATAAAAGAATTTTAGAAGTTTTAGTTTCGATTTTCTACTGTCATGTAAATTTTCCATTCATACTTAAGTGGCACAGACGAACTGATTGCTTTGAAATTCGTCTTCGTGTTAACATTTCTATTAAAAGGCATTTATTAAGAATTTATTTTATGTTTATTGTAAACTGCAAATGCTCCTAAACTTTGATTGTGATAAGTTTAAAAAGCATTTTAACAGTGCGACAAAAATTTTTCTTTGACTAGAAAGTGGGGTTTTCATAAGCATGTTTAAAGCAATGAGAAGCGCATAGTTAGAAAAATAGCAGTCTGATTAGACCAATAAAAATGAGCGAGGCATGAAAGCTAATCAGCGACGAGACTTCAACGTGTTGAATAGCGAAGTCTGTTCCTAGCCACTCCCCCATGTGTTGAACCGTTACCTTCTTGTGTTGAACTTATATCGGGACTTTATTTTATTTTAAATAAACAAATTCCTAGGGGAAAATCTTACAAAACAGGAATCCAAAGACATAATATTTAACTGCGTTTGCATTAAAGCACCGAGTGCTAAATTTAAAAATGCACGTAAGACGGGGCATACATAATTTTCAAATAAGGCGTGAAAATTATGTATTAGAAGAGACAAAGAGGCTCATTTTAATTTCTTGGAAAAGGTAATTAAGTACTTATAAGGTATTTCTCCCGCCTTCCTAGCGTGCCTTCGTGAACTGAAAAGCATTAGTACCACCACTAAATATTACAATGATTATTTTTCAATTTTTCAATACAAATATTAAAATATATATATACACACATATATATATATAATATATATATATATTGCCATTTGCTCAACTTATTGGGTATTTGTATTAAATATGGACGCATAAAGAACTATTAGATTAAAATTTGGTTACCGCTTTAATTATCAAAATTTAAGTTATAATACTTTAATTCTAAATTTTAATGTGAATTTTGGGTCTATTTAAGAGAGATCAATTTCTTTATGTCTGGTATTATTTCATTCAGCCTTAACCGTAAATTAGGATCCACTTTTAAATTTGGTCTTTATTTATACTTCTTCAAATATAACATGGAAAAAAATCCTTGTTCACACGAACAGGTTGTGCAAAAAGGCAATACAAATTTGATAGCTTTATTTCTGAAATCCTTTTTTTCGCTTCAGCCAAAAGTTAATTAAGTGTGCCATTTTCGAAATCTTCAGTTAGATTTTGATCACAGGAAATTTCTATCAATTTTTTTTTCTTCAGGAGATTTTTGAATTTAATAATTAAAAATATTTTGTTTCTCTGCGTACCACCGGTTGAGAATCGCTGGGCTAGATGATGTTGTTAAGAGAAATTGCTTGTGTCCAAACGAAGGTCATTACAATCACTCCAACTTCACAAAATGAAAGAAAAATCTCAAGGAAAGAAAAAAAAATATATATATATATATATATATATATATATATGTGATTCAGGAAATTATTTTAATACAGACCTCCTCCATTTCTTTGGAATCATCGTCTTCCATTTCCATGCGACGAGCATATGCGAACTTGAAAGTCTCAACGACTCTATGAAGTGTGAGCAAAGTGGAATCTCGGTATCGAGTGACATTGGCGTTGATATCTGAATAGCCAGATAACACACGTAACATAAATGTCAGAAGGGCACCACTACCTGGTGGAGAAGGTGCATACAGCGTCATGTTATCCCGCAACTGGGCTTCTATCGGTGTTCTCCATTTTGGACTGTATTTCAGCATATCTCTCTCAGTGATGATGCTACCTATCGAAAATGAGAAATGAAAAAATACGAGGGTCAGCCAGCAAATTAAGACCGTTTAGCTCTACAAGAAACTAAAGAAAACAATTCTGTTACATACCTGAAGCTTCCTTCACGTCTCTATATAATCACCACCTTTATTAAACATTTATCGTATCTGTTCACGAGTTTCAGAACTCCCATGTTATACTTTTCTGCCACCAGACCTTAGGACTGCAGTGAACAACATAATCTTGCAAAAAAGGTGTGTAAGTCTCGATGACTTGCACATTGTGTTTCCAGACATTTCTCGTTTATTGCTTCGAGAAACTGTGTCTGTCGCAACATCTAAGCTACAACAAAATTTGTGTTCGATGTGTTCCGAGACAAATGGGTGGCACGCATAAAACTCATAGAATGGGCTAAGCATTGATATTTTTGACATGATATGACAGAGATGGAGACGGCTTTCCTCATCTGATTGTGACTGATGAGACCTGGGTATCTCACATCACTCCAGAGAGCAAGTGCCATTCATTTGAGTAGCATCATCTCTCATCATCCAAAAAATCGAGAAAATTCAAATAGACTCTCTCAACACAAAAGTTCACGGCAACCGTCTTTTGGGATTGTAAAGGTGTTTTTTGGTGAATTTTATGCCAAAAGGCACTACGATTGGGGTAAATCGTTAGTGTAAGACTTAAAAAAAAACTCTGGTTAGTAAAAAACTCTGGCGAGATATCCGAAATCGGAAGTGAGGAATGCTTTCTGGACTCTTCATGACCGGGGGGGGAATTTGTGATCCCTACCCTATAGTCCAGCTTTTGCTCTCAGGGATGTCTACTTTTTTCTTAAGATGAAAAAATTTATGGGAGGTAAATGTTTTAGAAGTGATGAAGAGTCGGAGAATGCAGTGACCACCTGGCTTAATGAACTGGCGGTATAAGAGTATAACATAGGAATTCTGAAGTTCGTGACCAGATATGACAAATATTTAAATGTAAGAAATGATTATGTAGAAAAGTGAAGGAAGCTTCAGCTGTGTAACATAATTTTTTTTTTTTTTTGAATACATATTGTGTTTTTCATTTTGTATAACTAAACGGTTTTTTTTCTGAGTGACCCTCGTAATAACTCAGATGAAAGAAAGTTTTTAAAATTCAAACTAGATTTCTTCAGAAACGCAATGTATCCATGGGCTTTGGTATAGCAAGCTAGGTATTATATATTATCATATCCCAGAAAGGATGACAAATTACGGTTAAAAAATTATAATTTATTCTCTTTTGACAGATTATGAGTTCCCTAATCTGAAAGTTGGTTAATAGCGCTAAACTGCAAAAATGAACCAAACCACTTGATAATGGAATAATTTGACGATTTAAAAGGAAAGAGAAAAACAGTGAACAAGCTGAAAATAATATCTCAGTTTAGCGATTATATTTATTGGTTAAATGCCTTTGTTGGGATTAGTTTTAATTGAGTTTTGACGGTATAAAGTAGCATCAAACATGAGCACTTGCTTTAAAATTTAGTATTTTATTACAAGATGTATCCGAGTGTGATCTAATTTAAACAATCTCATATAGTCTATCGAATCTTTTTAGAATGATTTGAGTTTATTACCCCCAATAAATATTTATGAGCATGAATAAAAATGAATTTGGGAACATAATTGGATATGATAAATACGCAAAATTTTTGCAGAGAGATGCTGAACAAATATTCTACATTTTTTATTGAAAAGTGACAAGAACTTCGTCCTACTTAGAATTTTCATCGTGTCTAGAATTTTTGGGTCCAAACACTAGAACCTTTTAAAAGATAAATCAGTAAACTATCCGTGTATTAAAAATCATTTCAATAAAAATTGTCACAGTCGTAGTTAAGCAAAAACTATTATTTTTCGAAATAATTAAAACATTAATTAAAAAATGTAAAGCAGGCCAGTATTTTTTGTTTTCGCACCAATTTCTTAGCCTTCTTTTCTGTTTTACTGATTAAAACAAGTTTTTTCTAATAAAATATTTTTTCAGAAAATCGAGATTATTGAAAATTTCAAAAAATAAATCTCTAATGTCGCACAATAAATTAAATATTAATTCAAAAATTCCTAAATCTAGAAAAAACCAAGAATTATACGAAATTCAGCCACTGATGAGAGGTTTATGCACAAATTAATTGCGATCTCTTTTGCCTTACCTGCAGCTTTCAAATCGGCAAGAAACTCTTTGGATAGCTTGGTACGAGGGCCATAAAGTGCACTCATACTTTCATTAGCAATTGTTTCCAAAGTTTTTGCTAGGTCAGGCCTTTTCATTATATCATGTTCCTCAAACACCTTTCCAGTCTTGTTATTCACAAATACGTTCCTGTTGGTAGAAAGCAAGGCATGTAAGTAAACATAAACATGCAAGAATAGAAAGCAAACACAAAAAAGAAATCCTGAAAATAATATAGAAAAAAAATGTTATATGCGCTTTTTTGCATGAAAAGTACCATGAAAATACAAGGAAAATAATGCTTATTTATAAGGTAATATTTTAAACAGGTAATAGTTTAGAAGGTGCCCTGGTAACATACATACACAGTAACAGAATGCTATTTGAAAATAACAAAAAGGCTCTAGAAAAATGTTGCTGACTACTTCTTTTATATTTCATAAACAAAATACAAAACTAGGTTGCATTTTAAGGGGAATAATCATCCTAAGGGAAGAGACTTTTGCAGTAATCAAATTCAGATTTCATATTATCAGGAAATAAGTGATATTAGGGCAAAAGCGAACATTTTTGTTCACTTCAGATGAGTTTTCTCAATGAAAAGATGAACAAATTTCAGGAAAACAACAATTACTGCAATATTAATCACATAGTAATGTTAATACAGTTGTAGGGGTCCTCACTCTTATTCTACTAAATGAACGTTGAAGAACTTAGTGAACTGTTGAGCGACTTATCGATGAGTTCAAATAACTGAAAACGTAGACTCAAGAAGAGTTAACTACCCTTTATTTACCTCAAAATAAGATGAAGTGTTGGCCCCTTTCTCGGGCTTACAACAAAGCTTCCATTTGGGCTTAAACTCAGAATAAGAAATAAGAACTAAATTATAACTAACTAAGAGACTTAGTCGAAGCTAACACAGTTATATAAAATAGTTGGGCTTAATTTAAACTAGTCGGCGAATATCAAAAAACACGTAATATAAGGTCGACATATATGGCTACAGTCCCTGCTAGATGGGACTTTTCTGAGAAACGAGATTCTGGTAGCACTGGTTTAAATGGAAGGATTCCTAGAAAAAAGAGCCCCGCTGGAAGCGAAGCCTAGCTACGGAAACGTTGATGCGGCTAACGCGAGATTTTTTCAAACCTCACCGAAAATGTCTTGGCCGGACCTCTGTCCCGGTTAGAGACAACCAATTAGACGAAATTTCTGCTTCTTTAAACTTCAATCACATTATGCTTCGGCTACGTGGGACTTGATGTCGAAAGAGACAATTCTCAGAACCCGCCAAATTCCAGGAAACCCACGTAGCTAGGTTACCATTTTCACTTACTACAATGACTTGAACGCGAAACACTAATGCAGTACCGCTCAGACTGGGATCACGAGATGCTTCAGATGCAGAACTTTCGTCTGATTGGTTGTCTCTACCCAGGACAGAGGTCCAGCCGAGACATTTTCAGTGAGGTTAGCTAGGCGGGACTTCGCTTCAGGCGGGGCTCTTTTTTATAGGAATCCTCCCGTATAAACCAGTGCTACCAGAATGTCGTTTCTAAGAAAAGTTCCGTCTAGAAGAGACTGCAGCCAAGTATGATAACCTCTTAAGGATCACGTGATCCCAATCTGAGAGATAATCGATTACTGTTTGGCGTTCAAGTGAAAATGTTAATCTAGCTAAGTGGGTTTCCTGGAATTATGCGGGTTCTGAGAATTGTCCTTTTCGACGTCAAGTTGCGCGTAGCCGAAACATAATCTGATTGGGACCTAACAGCTTCAAGAGAGATATAGCCCGAAAGGCAAACACGCGCTACTCAGGACTCCTAGCTCTCTCTCTGGCGAAATAAGTTGAATTTTCCTAAAATAATACTTTTAACTCATTTGCATTTAGTGCGACTTTAGAAACTCATTCTGGTAGGGAGTTGTAAGTGGAAACAAGAATCCGTAGGAAAGCACGTTGAAATTAAAATAAGCGTTATAAAATTTAAATTTTACCTTACACAGTATTAATTGTATAGTTCTGCTGAATTATTGCTTCAAAAGAGACTACCTCTTTTTAAATGCGATTAATTGTAACAGAAACAGTGAGGATTATATTATATTGCTGCATTCTAGGATTAGTAACTATATTAATTAAGGGGATATTTGATATTTGTGTGATATTCTTCTACTCTAATATGGTAAATGCCTGTTCCTGAAAAAAGTAATAAGAAATAAACAGACTAGCTTAAAATTAAAATATTAAAAGAATCATTCGATAAAAACCTTGAAAAATATGATTGGTTTGTTTTAGTCTCAGCGGAAATGGATAATTGATACTTACCTAATAGCTTCGAAGCTCTGGATATTCTTTTCGTATTTTTTCAAGGCTTTAGCAAGATGTTTATTTACAGCGATACCTTCCTTGCATAAACGGATCGTGGGAGGAAAAAGATCCTCCCAAGGCAGATTACCGAATTTCTCATGAGCAACATAGTATCCTGCTAATTCCCCAGGAATAGCAATCGAAAGACCTCCTATAAGAAAATGGAATGAATTTTAATTTAAAATGTGTGCTTTACATAGAAACGCATTTAGTTGAGTTGTATCTGGACTCAGAAAATATATTGATAATAGTATTAATTTTCCTCTTTGCAAAAAACTGTACACAAAGATAAGATACCATTAAAATGTGCGTTATATTTTTTTCTGAATTTTTCATAGCAAAGGAGCTTTATTTTTAACATTACAAAATGTTAACATTTCCTTGATGATTAAAAATCAGTTTTAAATGATTTTCTCACCCCTAATAGAGTCAGACTTTCCATTTCATACCTATATTCTCCATTAAATAAACTGGAACTAAGCTAGACTGTAGTAAATACGAGTTTTCAAAGCATAATTGAAGGGATTTAAACGGCAAAGCTCAAAGCCATTTCGCGAGTACAGAAAAAATAGGAAAGACTTTCGTAAGAAAATAATTTCTCAAAATTAAATAAGTCTTTTTCCTTTTGTTGAAATTAAATTATAGCCCCAAATAAAGTCCAAATGCATTTTAGTGTTAAAATGAAGATATACAATATTAATTAGGGAATGACTAGCAAAAAACGATTATCAATGAATATCATACTATTAGGATCTGCACTGTTGAGTGCGTACGGGTTCGTAATATATTTAATGCACACAGTTACAATGATAAGTTAGTTAAATTTATTTTGCCAAAAGAAACACCTCAATGTTCTGGAACTTTCCACAAAAATACAGTTCTTCACAGTAACACAGAGCGCAATCAATAGTTATACTTCAAACTACTAGTACAGCATGCAAACAGCATCTAAAAGGCTTTCCAAAGTTGCTCTGGGCTAACAATTACAACAACAATAATAATTCCAGGCCAGATGCTCTGTCCGGTCTTATATAATTTTCAACAGACCACCGAGATATTTCTAGTACTTTCCTGTTCTCGAAATTACTCGAAGGCATATGAGAGCCGAATACAGTACAGTTGCACGTGAAATAAATTACAATTATTCATTTACAATACTTATTATGGTGATACAGGGGTAGGACCAAAATAATGCCAAACGGTTGCTGAGTTTGGCGACATTTGGAAACTTCTCGCCAAATTTGATGACAAAAATTAGTCGCCAAGACCTTTGCCAGCTTGGCGCTTGCCTCTGTATTTTTATTTTTCCAGCAGAGCATCCTCCTTTTAGATTATTACGTTAAATTATACAGGGGAAAAATTTTCACATATGATTTCACTAAAATTATCCTTATATGAACAAAATTCGTAACTGTATTAAAGTTAAAAATTATGAAATAAAGTTTAAGTTTAAAATTATTTTACATTAGGTTTACGCAAACTAAAGAATAGCATATTTTGAAGAAATTCGAAAGAGTTCTTTCAGTATATAAAAGCCTGTTCATCATATTCTTAGGATGTGAAGCTCATGACTGTCAGGTAAATTTTTGCTAAGAAAATGCTGGTTGATACAGAAAGCATAGAAGTATCTGAAGATTTCGATTTATTAGACTATAACCAGAGCCCACTAAGACTATTGATTACATTAGTGAGAAACGTCCTAAATTGAAACTAGCTCATATTCACGTTTTGCACGCAGCAAAACCACGAAAAAGCACTCCCCCACGATTATGATAATGTAATACTACGCTGCAATGATAGAAACAGAGTTTGAAATTTTTCATTCATCTCCATAACTACTTCTAAAACAGATCTGGCGCCGTACACATTTTTATTATTTCTCAAACAGAAAGAGATGTTAAAAAGTCATAACTTTTCAGCTCAAGTTGCTGTGGCCAGTGGCTGAACAGCATGTGACAATTACTTCTATAGTAGTTTTATCCTTTTCTCCTTGACTTGTCGCGATGTTCGCTGAAACAAGAATGTTTATGCACTTCAACTGGTAAGAATAAGTTTAAAAGTAGGATGTTAATCTTAACCGGGATCATAGTGAAATTTACATCGCTTGCTTCTGCCTTGTTTGCGTATATCATTTGCAGTAATTGTGAAGGATATACCGAGAAATACTGCCTGTGCATGGCAACTTTATAGGAATTAGTTATATCAGATCTGACCCAGATTTAGATTTAAAATCTGGACTAATCGAAATCTTAGTGTCAAGGTAAAGTGGTCAGTAGTATAAAATTTGGTACAAGAAAACTTATTTTAGTTATGTTAATATTTTAAGTTATTACAAATCTGAATAAGAGTGGTAATAAAGTTATGTTTAAATTTTAGATCTTAGTTGAACATTGTATTGGCAGTTAAAAACAGCCCAGGGGCAATAACTAACCATGCGTTCATGTAACTTCTCTAGATAACTGTTAAGGAGCAAGATTAAGTAATTTCAGACCACGGCACTAAACTACAAAGTAAACTACAAAATTTTCATGAACAGAAAAAAAATGCATCATATGTCATGAAAACTGTATATCAATAAATGATGGCCATGTTGAAAAATAAAAGTATAGTGCTTAAGAGAAATAATTTTCTTTCATTTTGATACCATTTTTATTATTAAAATCTCAAAGGAAATTTTGATGTATTTATTATCTTCATTTAGCATATTTAACGTCTTTGTAGAATGGAAAGTATTGTAACTGGAAGGAAATATTTATTGGAAGCTTCGTGTGCAACAAATACAGTGAAATAAATGCACAGCTAAGTTTTGAATAATTAAGCCCTTTGTTAAACTAGTGCTCAAATCACCTCGCGGCTTTAATTTACAATCAAATAATATAGCAGTAAAATATTTCTCCGCCGTTTGGCTTTACTATTTGAATGGTTCATTTTAAGTGTAAGATTTTATGTTCTGTAACTTTTCTTTCTAGAGAACAAGTTCTTAAGTTAGTCGGCCAGTCGTAACTGCATGACACAAACTGTTTCAAATATTAAATTGGAATATGCGCACAGAAGTCAGGCTGCAACTTTTTAACCTCAGAATTTTTATATTTAAACATGCATTTTTGAAAATTAAAAAAAATTTTTTTTGGTAAACTCGTTATGATGGTAAATATCATCACTGCAATCTGAAGTTTTGAATTGCCAATTTTTAAAATTTATTTCATTTTGTTGTAAATTTATTTTGTACAACTGAAAATTTTAACTGTAGATCAATCCTCGTATTATGAAAACTTATCAGAAATTGAAAAATGAATATGATTCGTAAATTTTCAATTATATTTAATTCACGAACTAAAATCAGTATAAAATGTCCTACCCATTTTGGCTAGCGTAGCATTTCCTTCGAACATATCTCTAGTTGCGCTTTCAGGAGCAGTTTCTCGAGCATCCAAATAGTAGGCTTTTCTTTCTGATCTGCAGTTATAAGAATGAATGAGCATTACGTATCAAGAGTGGAAATATAAAATTTTATAAAATGTTATAAGCATATTATAAAATAAATTTTATTGAAAGCTTTACAGATGCTGGATTTAAAAATTCCCTATAACGCCCAGTAATAGAGAAGTAGGCCTTAATCGATGTCCACTCATTCTAGTTGGGAAAAGCTTACAACTGTAGCGGAAGTTACATTTTTATCAAACATAATAAGCGAATATGATACGATATTTATGGTATAACCTAAAACATTAATTTATAGGGAATGAGTTTCATTAGCTAATGATAATAAGCTATTGAATGTAGGCTACATACGAATGTGGTTTATTTCTGATATATATTAAAATTATAATAATTTCACCGAAGATGCACTGAACGAATCGGTGAGGGAATGTTTCAACTAGAAAACGAAAGAGACGAATAAAAACACATTTATAATTTTTGGAAGACAGACACACGTACGAGGGACACTCTGAAATTTTTGAGATACACATAGGTTTATAAAATTATACTTACGAAATTTTAGGAACGTTCAAAGTGGTCTCCTCAAGCATAATGCACTCCTGTAGGCGAATTTTCCAAACAAATGCCTCAAGCCATTCATTTCTTGGAATCGATGAAAATAATGCATTTACAGTCTCATCAATCTCGTCTTTCGAATGAAAACTACGTCTATGTAAATTCCTTTTTAGATTAAAAAATAGCCAAAAATCAATCATAGCTAGATCGGTTGAACAGGGTGGATGTTCTATCACTTTGATTTTTTTTTTTTTTTTTTTTTTTTTTTTTTTTTTTTTGTGTGTGTGTGTGTTTTGTCCAAGATTGAGTTTCAACTGTCAATCTTGCTGAATGAGAAGGTGCATTGTCATGGTGGAGCATGAGTCCTCTAACATTCACTTCTCGAAGGATTTCTAAAAGACACTTAGTGGTGTACCAGTTAACTTTCCTTCTTTGCACCGACAGCGAGGCAGCCGATCCACTGGGGCAGTTAGCATATCGGCCAGATAGCCCCGCTGACGGAATTAACTTGGCCCACGTTACCCCGCTGACGGAATTAACTTGGTTTTGAGCACAATATGCACAAACGAGTGCTAAGGGCGGTGCAAACCAAATGCTGGACGAAAAGACGATAGTGTAGTGATGGAAGAAGGGTGCATTGCGGGTGAGGAGAACAATTTCCATTACACATTTACAGCGTTATAGGTAGGTGATTACAATAGGTACCAGTTAACTGTGACTTTCTTCTGTCCTTCCTTTGGCTGTGGCCAGCAGATAGTGGATTTTTATGTCTGACGGGGTTGCATTATCCACCGCTTGGCTCATTGTTCCTTAGGACGGAGGGCCACCTCGCCAGCCGAATTGTCCTTCCAGCTTGATGGCTTTGACCAGTTCTGGTACTTCTGAAGAAAATGGCATTCTTTAGTTTTTTTCATGGCACATTGTCTTTCCATCATTATGGGCGGGGGAAGATCTTCAAAGACCATACTTTACTTTCTTGATGTGTTAGAACGTCAAAAAATGGTATGCACGTTTCATGCAATGGCCACTATCTTTAAGTAATTTTAGGGTTTCTTTACTGATTCGGACACATTCTTCTTTTTGGTGCTCAGTTAAATTATGGGGAACACAACGGCAAACTAGGTTTTCATATACAATTCTTCCTGTATAATTTTATGTATGAATGAGTAATTTGATGTGCGGTGGCGGATCCAATGTTGAGTTCCATTTGTATCATTTGTTACGTGCAGCGATTATAATCAATTAACATTTTTCATATGACTGACGTATCCGGAATTACTATTGAAAATTGCTTTACTGTGTGTTCTATCCTGAAGAGAGTAACCAGCTTTACAAATTGCCTCTTTGAAATATAAAGATGGATCTTACACTAAGAATACAGACGAAACAGTAAATTACCTCTTACAATATCACTTTCCTTGTAATACTACTTATGGTGGTCTATCATTTTATTATCAAGTTAGATCAGATTGTAGAATACCTACAGAGATAGTAAATGATCATGAGTTTACTTTGAATGAAGTGGAATTTACTCTTAAAAAGTTAAAGCTCCTGGTAAAGATGGCTTGACAATAGAAATTAGTATTTTAGAAAGCTTTGAATGCAATAAAATGTTCTTTGTAGCTTTTCTGAATGAATGTCTTCGGAGGGTAATATTTTCTGAATGTTGGAAAGAGGCTGATTTACTTTTATTCAACAAAGAAAGAAAGGATAAAGAAGATCCTTCCTCTTTTTGCCCCATTTTGTTTACTGCCTTCCTGGGGCAAGGTGGTGGATAAACTTATAGCACAACGGTTCCAATATTATTTATTATCAAATAATCTTTTAAATAAAAACCAATTTGGTTTTATTCTGGGCAAAAGTACTATCCAGGCTATAGATAATTTAATTTATGACATCCTTCGAAATAGAAGGAATGGCATTACATACTGCAATTTTATCCTTAGATGTAAAGGGCGCCTTCAACAACGTTTGGTGGCCAATTTTATTAAAGAAATTAAAAGATATAAAATGTTCAAGAAACATCTTCTTGCTGATACGTGATTTTCTGAATGAAAGAAATGTTTCCTTATATGATCGTAAAAAGTGGCACCACAGAAATTACCAAAGGTGTTGTCCCCAAGGCTCAATATCTGGTCCACTTTTGTGGAATATTATTACTAATATAGCTGTAAACATAACTTTACCACAAAATGTTAGTATACAAGCTTATGCCGATGATTTTGTATTATTGGCCACAGGAAGTGGTCGTTCCTACTATTGATTAAAGCTTTACGTTTCGCCACTCAAGTTTTGGAGAAGTGGTCTTTCCATGTTAAACTTAAATTTGATCCAAAGAAGAGTTTTCTTTTGGGTATTGCTAAAACTAATACTAGATCAATACGTCCTAGGTGCAAATTGTATGGACAACCAATCAGAGTTTCTAAGACAATCAAATACACTCATATCCATAAATTAAGGATAATTCGGAGTCACGCGGAAATCGAACTCTAAAATAAATATATCACCTTTAAAATCACTACACACATCTTCAAGAATAATATGCAAATTTCAGGAAGTAACCAGATGACACCAATGGTATGTCACAATGACGAGAATGTAAGAGAGTGATATATAAGGAATACAGGCAAAGAAGTACAATTGTTCGCAGGCGCTTTATAAGCATTTCAGTGCAATAACCGAATAGTTATGGCACAAAGGACGCATTTGGATGATGTTTTACGTGGTAAAATTATCGGCCGTCTGGAATGTAGGCGTACACAACTGGAAGTATCAGACGAACTTGGAATTGCCCAGAGTGTTATCTCCAGGCTTTGGCAACGATTCCAAGATGATGGTAATCTGAGTGGACGTTACACAGGTCGTCCCAGAGTTACAACGCCGAATGAGGACCGGTATTTGGCAGTTACTGCCAAAAGAAACAGGCGGAGCACAGCCTCAGATTGTCTCGTCAGCTCTCTTCAGCCACTGGTACGATAATTTCAAGGCAGACCGTGTACAGACGCTTAGGGCAGATTGGTCTATATGCTCGTAGAGCTGTCAGATGCGTTCCACTTACTGCAACTCACTTTCGCCTGCGGTTAGCCTGGAGTAGAGAGCATGCATTGTGGACACCGCAACAATGGGCTTGTGTGATGTTTATATGGAGAGCTCCAGGTACCCGTTACCACCAAGAAAAACATCATTGAACGACACCGTTACGGTGGTGCAGGAGTGCTAGTTTGGGGTGGAATTATTCTGGGTTCCAGAACTGACCTGCATGTTCAAATTGGAACCATGACAAGCCAAATCTATCGGCACGTCATTCTGGAATAACATGTACGTTTGTTTCGGGGCGCCATGGGCGCAAAATTTGTGTTTATGGATGACAACGCCCATCCTCACCGTGCAAACATCGTAAGCGAATGTCTTCAATCGGAGGATATCACTCGTATGGACTGGCCAGCATTCTCACCGGACTTGAATCCAGTAGAGCACGTGTGAGACATGCTTGGCCGACGAGTTGCAGCCCTTCAACCTCCTCCTACATGTCTACCGGAACTTCAGAGAGCATTGCGTTTTGAGTGGTGTAATATCCCCAAGATCAGATCGATAATTTGATACTCAGCATGCCTAGGCGTTGTACGGACTGTATTGCATCGTCTGGGAGACATACAATGTATTAACAATCATACCAACCATGTAATATTGTTTTTTTTTTAAATAGGTTTTTTTTTTGTAATTTGCTCCAGGGAGAAAATGTTAGTATTTGGGAGTATGTATAAATGTATTAGGGAGAAAATGTTAGAAATGTTAGTAAATGTAATTTTTTTAATAATATCAAACATATAGCATCTTTTTTTGCTCTTTACCTTTTGTTTAATAAATAAGCTTTACAAATAAGTCAAATTTGTTTTGCTTCTAACTTTTCCTTTGCCTGATTTTGCATTATCCTTAATTTATGAACATAAGTGTATTTGGGCATTACGATGATGAAAAGCTCACTTTTATATCTCACCGAGATCAAATAAAGATCGAATGCACTCATATTCTTAATAGACTTAGTAAAATGAATCTCTAAGGCAAAGTTCTTAAGAGTTTATATAAAAGAGCTATAGAGAGAAAGATCTTGTAAGCATGTGGCGCATGGTGGGCTGGATAGGTTCGAATGCGTAACAAAATTCTGCAAATTCAAAGAATCGCTTTATTGGGGATTACTAAGTATTTTTAGAACTGTTTCCACAGTAGCTCTTCAGATTTATTCTGGATGTCTTCCGATCGATATTTTAGCAGAAAAGAATATGCTATCTTTAAATTAAAAGCTGGTAATAAAACTGTCGATTGCTTCAGTGAGGTCTTCTCAGCTAGAGATTTTGACTTTGAGAAACCCTTAGACATTCATCCAGCTTTATTAAAACGGTTGAATTGGCATAAAGGCCTCCCTAATATGACAGGCTACACTGTTTTTACTAGATCCTGTAGAAATTAATAGCGACTGCGAAAGCGCAATTGTTTCAATCACGGATACGTCCAAGTACCGAATTAATTAAACAGATAAAAGATATGCTCATATTTCTTAGCGCTTTCAGAGATATTAAACTCTTTTGGAGTCATATTGAGACTATCGGTAAGGAGTTAGCAGATAGATTGGCAAAAGCTGCCACTGAAAATCAATTTATTGAGTTTGAAGTAAAGACTTCCTTTGACAGTTTGAAATCCTTGTTGAAAAGAAAAAGTTTGATTCTTTGGCAAGCAAAGTGGAACGACCCAGCTTCTAAACACATATAATTTAATCTCAACTATAAGTGAGAGAAGATGCCTTAGTGATAGGTATCTTAATCAAGCTTTAACTAATGATGGACATTTCCCATTTTATTATAATAGGATTCGATTAAAATTTGTGCTTCTCTTTGTGGCATGAGTAATGTCGATCTTGAGCACTTGTTATTTAGCTGTTCTTTTACGAAAAATATTGTTCCAAGATTTATTTCAAATATTGCTATATTTAATACTCTAAAGGATGTGTGTAAAAATACAATGACTAAATTGAAATTGTCAAATTTCATAAGATATGTATCTGTACATGAAACGAATTTATGTATTGATTTTGTTTAAAAATTTCTTTGCCTGTTTTAAGAAAAATTATGGTGTTTATGATATTTTGTTAGTAACATTGTTTTACAAAGTATGTAATAATGTGTTATTTGTTTGTGTAGCTGGTAAATCTCACCAGCTTCTAGACTTCAAGTTCATTTTAGTTGTTAATTCTATTTAAAGTTATTTCAGGTAGTATGGTGGTGGTTCTGCTGCTTATGGGCCTGATTTAGGCCTTGTTTTAGATTTCAATGTTTCTATATTTACATAGCATCACTAAGCCCTGTTTAAGCCTCTAATGACGGTATAGAAAGTTCAGTCAGTTCAATCCTGAAGAAAGTAGCAACTTCTTTGAAATTCTGTAAGCACGAGGTGGATTTTCATTTCACAGATTATAAATGCTAACTGCAGACGTTAAACGCATTCTTCTTGATTTAATACCGCTCTAAAATGATAGAAAATAAGACGAGTTCTCGCGTCAACTCTCTTTTTTTCTTCTGCCAAAAATTTATTCTACGCTAAATTACTTGCAATTGGACAATAAGAAATCGTCTGATAGGCTAAAATAGTTTATATTTTCTAATCTAAACGTTCATGTTTTTCTGCCACTTATAGTCTACGTGTTTCTCAAAAATTTCAGAGTGACTTATGTGTATCACCAAAAACAGAGATTTCTTTTAAAGAGTATAACATAGAAAACCATTTGCTTTTATACTGAAAGTAATTATCCTTTTTATCAGCTTTAGTTCACTTATAAGCGGAATTTTATCATCCATTTTTAACCTTATTCCTGATACGTTATCGAGTAAACATTTTGTATACACATTTGTTTGTCAATGACAGTGCATTTTTTACAAAATTCTGTTTACAATTTTTTTATTTAATGTTTAAGCAATCTTTCGCATATACTTTAGTTTAAAGAATAAATTAAACGTATCCGGACTTTACTTTTTGTATCATTGAATACAGCAAAGAAATATCTTTTAAATGAAACTTGTATATAAATTGTAGCTAAATTCTTAGATTTTTGGCGAATTTCCGAAAATCGCTCAATTTGTTTCGAGCATTTGACGTCCATGATTTTAGAATTTCAGCATCTAAAAATGTATTGGATATAAATTTTGAAATTTTCACAGATTATAAAACAAATACTTCACATCTTTTAAAACCAGAATTAAAAAAATGTTAACCGGGCGATTTTCTGCATTTATTTAAAAATCAACGCTGCAGTCTTGATCAGCAGATAGGAAAAATATGGTTCTTCTGGCTATCACATAACTTACTGACAAATTACTTTGAAAATTACAATGTCATTACGTCACATGATTCTTATCGCTTCGGTACAGATATTTTTGAAAATTTACTATTTCATTAAAAAATGCAGCTCAAGGATTTATTAGTGATTTAAATTATTTTCAATGAAATCTACCCGGTAGTTTTTAACTTTCTACATTTCGCAAGTTTACATGCACTTTTCTCAGCATTCCAGTTTAAAAAGTTATTTTGTTAATTTTAATGCCTTATATCTTCTTTTGTGGGGCTTTAAAATTCTAACATCCAAAAATTCTTATTATAAACATTTAATATTTTCAAAGCAACATTTTCACCCTCTTTTAAAACAGGAATGGTAAAAAATATTTAGTAGACATTTTGTAGAACTCTTTTAAACTAGGCGCATTTTCATAACCTTTTTTTTTTTTTTTTTTTTTTTTTTTTTTTTTTTTTTAACTCACTCATGGTGTTTCTCGCTACGGTCAAAGTTTTGCACCAGTTTTTTTAAACAGTTTCCTGATAAACTATCCAACTCAAATTTCGCGAACACACACACATTGTGGGCGCCAGTAAAATGGGTTATTTTAGTCATTTCATTTAGTACCTTCTGGATTACCCTCTGCAGAGTTAACAAAATTCTTATCAAACCTGCAGGACGGTACTAATGTTTAAATGCTTCCACATTATCTCGCAGACGCAGGTACTAATGTTTAAATGCTTCCACATTATCTCGCAGACGCAGGTACTAATGTTTAAATGCTTCCACATTATCTCACAGACGCATGGTGGAGATTCATTAATAAAATTGATTACTATTTTTTTACCATGCTGCGCGACATTCGTAATGTATATGGCTGAATGTCTCATAAAAACGGCCCTTTTAAAGGCCACTCCTGCTTTTGTTTTGTAAGATTAGAAGTAATTTAACTTTAACGATATTCAAAATTCAGTAGCTTATTTAATAAATTTGTGGGGTTCCACTCTTTTATCTAAAAACTGAATGTGAAGGAACCTAATGAACAGCTAAACAAATAATCGCTTTAGTTCAGGAACAGAGACGTAAACCCGAGAAGGGTTAATTACCCTTTATTACTCAAAGTAAGATTTTCACAGATGGCCCTTTTCTCAGGGCGTAGAGCAAAGCCTCCACTTGGACATGAGCTCAAAGTAATAAGAAATAAGACTTAACTAAAACGATATAGCCGAAGCTATCAAAATTCTAAGTAGTTGGTCCCTAAATATCGAATAAGCTAGCGAAGCTATCAAGGGCCAGCAATACGGCCGAGCGTAGTAACAGCTTAGAGAGACTTAGCCAAAAGTCATTAGGAAGGATAGGAAAGTAGCTTTAACTAAAGATAACTGTTAAAAACTTAGGATAAATCTTACAAATTAATGGAAACATTTTCACTCATGTATTCTTAATAATTTTATGTATTGGTGCTTTAATGGCGTCATCTAGGAAGTAACTAAACTAAAAGCAGTAGAATGCATTCTACATTGTTGCCGAATTACGCTGATTTTTAATTGGGAAAACTATTTAAAAAGACAACTGCAGAAGAAATTTAAAGATTATCGCAATTAAAGTATTAAAAAGACGTCACTTCGAATATAGTTGCTGAATATATAAAACAAATCGAAAAAATAATTCAGTAACGTATTTTTTTTGTTTTTGTTTTTTGTAATTGCAATATATTTCTTTACTTGAAAATGTCTTATTTTGATTTAGCTTTCATTTTTATTTTTCACTGCGCATTTTATAGATGGAATCATAGAGGAAATTTATTTGCAGTAATTTGATTTTCAAACAATAAATCACAAACTGTATGTATTTCTAGATATTTTATTTATTTTATTTTATTTTATTTTTATTTTTTTGGCAGGATACACACATTTAAGCATCTTTACCAGGTGCTAATTTTACTGCTAGATGTTCCCAGAAAGTAACAAACACCACTTCATCAACAAGCGTTTAAAGGCTGCGTATCGTAAATACGTTTTAAAGTTTTGCTCTTAGGTTGACTACAATTGTTTTCCTCTTCATGCTGTTATCATATTCAACCTTTAAATGGTGCCGAATTTTCTTATCATATAAAAAGATTTTGTACATAAAGACTTCAACTATGGTTTACATCTATTGCTACAAAAAAATTTCAAAGGTGGTATAGGTTGAAAATATATCTAAAGAATTCCTAAACACGACATAGGAATATATTACTTAAACATCCCGTAGAAATAATAAAAGTTAGTACGCAAATTTCTAACGATGGGCTATTAGATTCAATAATAATAGCATCTAATTTTCTCTTACATTTACTACATTCCTATTATTCTGTACAGAGGTCTCTTTTTATCTTCTATGGTGAAACAAACTAAAATCCAAAAATCAGACGGTACTTTTTGTAAAAAAGTTCATGTCAAGATACTATTTTTTTAAATGGAAATTTTTTGAACTTGGCAATATATTTAGTTTTTAAAATAAAGCAAAATAAGTTTCGTAATTACTTGTTGTAAAACAACATCAGGAATCCACCTCCTAAACCCATGCTTTGGGGGTTCACAACTCCCATGCATAAAAGAACAGCAATGGCCGCGTCGACAGCGGAACCATTTTTGGCCAAAATATCCCTGAAACAAAATAAAAAGTTTACATATATTATATTGTATCTGTCCAAAGATCCTTCAAATAAATGCGTCTACTTTACTAATTAGTAACGAGTTATGAATTAAAACAAGAATCATTATTAGGTTAATAAAAGTTATGAAGATCGCTTAAACACCTTCGACTGAGACAAAATGAGTATCTGCTGTTGATTGAAAGAAAACAAGGTAAAAACGTTGTTAAAATTAAGAAACGGTTAATAACCAGATATATTATGTTCATAAATTATAATTGCAAGATAATTTTTGATTCTAAAGCCAGTTAATTTGATCATATCTGAGACGTCAACAAATGAACTTTTAAGCCCTTATTTTTTCAATAAAATTAAAAGGTATCTTGTTAGCATTTATGATTTTACTTGGACGATCTAAAGCCAAAATGTTGACTATGCGTAAGTATTAAAATACTGATACTAAATCGTAGCTTTACTTCTGATGTCTACTACTGGGAGTATTAACCAGTACGTTAAATGTTAATAACCAGTGGCCATTAGTTTTAATAGTATTTTAAGGATACATATTTATGTATCTCACCCGAAGGCGATTAATTTACTGTGTAATAACATGAAATAAATAGTAAGCAAGCACTAGGGCTGAGCTGATCAAATAATGAGATTCCCCCCCCCAATACTAGAAACTAGTTGCCATTGAATTGATAAAATTGAATGATCTTCTTAGTCTCTTCACTGCAATAAAATATAATGTAATAGATGAAAAATAACGAAATTAAGTATATTGTTTGAGGGTGGATTTAGATTTTAAGGAGATAGATAAAGCAAGTACAACGGCACCAATTTTAGTTTTAATATTTCTTCAATTGAAATGTAAAATGCTTAAATTAATAAAATAAAGGCATAACTTTAGAAATACTTAAAAAGTGATAAAATTTACCAAATAAAGACTAATTAATTAAAAAAAAGTAAAAAAAAAAAAAAAGAAAAGAAAAGAAAAAAGAGAGAGAATCGAAAGGATTAAAATTTTAACCTCAAACTAGAGGATTTGTTAAGGTTTATTATGCTCTCACTGAACTCTCAATTAATTAACATGCTACTGGTCTCACTCCTGCTGACACACACTTATTGTCTTTTTAGCTTTAATTTCTTCGCACTTATGCCACGTAAAATTCAACAGAAAAGTCACAAAATTTCTACAAGCAGCGTATCTTTAGAATTCCCCACATAGTGCTATGTTTTGCTACGTATTTTTTATGGTCTTTTAGTCTTTTTAACTTTATTTTTTAAACATAGCATTCTTCGCAATGCCACATAAATTCAACAGCAAAATCACAAGATATTTAAAAACGACATATTTTTAGATATCTCAATAGAGGTAAGTGTCGCCACATATTTTTGAGATTCGCTAAATTATTTCTTTAAAAATAATGCATGGTGATAATGTTTGATGGGAATATCCTTTTTCGGACACAAAAGTGACACGGACAAAAAGGTGAGGATCGAGAGGGTCGGCACCAATAAGTTTACTTTCTCTAATACGTAGCTGATAAAAGAATTATATTTGTGATGAACAAATCCCAGAATAATAAAGGAATGGTTTATCTTGACATACGTAAAAACATAAATAATAAATGATATCTAAATATAAATTTAATATATAAATCTTAAATAATAAATGGTATGACGACAGATGAGACGTCGAGGCATATTTTCGAACTGAAAAAAATTGTTAAAAATTTTAGATATCTCGTTATTGTCTTTAGAATACTTAGTCAACCTGTAAAATTTAGATTACGATATTTTTGTCATCAAATTTTTACTGGACAAAATATCTAAAAATTTAAAATATTTGCACAAAAACTTATTCACAGATATAAATAGGTTATTTATAAGTATCAACTTACCTTCCAATGACAGCACATGGAGCAGCATCCGTTGAAATAGCAGCAGAAGCAAATTTACCCAGTCTAGAATTCGAATTATAATCTGGCATATTATACATATATATCTTTCGTCTGGCAACCACATTTTGGGTTGAAGATGGTAAGGCGAAGCATATAACGATCACGGTTATGATGAGAATGGCTAATATGATCGCTACTGCCAAGGCGATTTTGGCCTTCAACGTCAGCGATCGGCTGGAAGTGGAAAAAAAAAGAGTACAAGCTTTATTATTCATAAAAGTGAGATTTCATAAAGCGATTAAATTAATTTAATTCTTAATTAAACAAAAAGCTGTTTAATTAAGTTTTAAAACTTAATTAAACAATTAATTCTTAATTAAACAAAAAACAATTTTGCTTTGTTAAAATTAAACAAAACAAATTCATTTTTATTAAATTAAATTCTTAATTAAAAAATTTTTTAAAAATTTAGTTCAGTGCACCAAAATCCGGCTTGAAGTACTCTTTCACTATACCCTAGCACTTTTTATAAGTGGGCGCATTTAATGTAATTCTTGGAAAGAAGAAACTACTGTCTAGCACCTAGATCCTATTTAAAATTTACAGCTGCAGTTCTGGCAGCCTCAGAGACACATGCAGCGAATTACATAGCAACAGAGAAAAGAGTACCAGAGGCACTGTACTAGTATTTTTTCATGTTCTTTTTCTACAGATTCTCAATAAGTGCATCCTTTCAGATATGTAGTTTTACAAGCTACCCGTGAATTTGATTTCGTTTTCGCAACGAAAATTAATTCTATCCATTATTTCTCTCATTAAGTTTTATATTTTACTATTATACTCTTTGTTCCAACATATATCCTATTCCTGTTATTTGTCTCAATACATTAAAATAAGCTTTCTGTAGCAGCAGAGGCGCATATAGGAGATGGTTGACAACAATGACAAACGTGACATCGCAAGAGGAATCTATATAACTTTACGTTTTATGGCATATTTCAATTCTGACAGATCTTTGAAATTTGATGTGTACATCTTAGATTTCAGATAACCCCAGAACCAGAAATTTATCAGAGTGAGGTCGGAGCACGCGGTGGCCACGGAACTACAAAGTTAAGGGAGATGACTTCTTATCTCCAACATGCTGTTGCAGAACTTGCCAAACGTATGTGGCGACGTGTGGAGGAACAGCATTTTGCTTTCCTACAATGCTATCAACAACATTTCGCTGCTGCAATTCTGGAATTACGTAATTCTGCAACATTGTTGTATGTTACTGTTAGCCATTACAGAAGCTGTGAAATTTACCAGGAAACAACAAGAAAAAAGTGTTATAATTTCCGACAGTGCTTCAAGCTTACAGGCAATAATCGGACTGAGCCACTTGCCACTAATAAGGGAAATCCAACGCTTACTATCCTATTTCCCAGAGAAAAAACCCGTCCCAAGCTTCACTGGACACGCGCTCATGTGAGCACAGTGGGCAATGAAGCAGCCGACCAACTTGCAAGAGATAGTGCAAATGGACAACTTGCCCCAGCCATCTGTCTGCCAATTCCATTACCACATCTTAAATCAAGACTGGAACAGGATCTTATGCCCCTGTGGAAAACTAACTGGACACAAGAGCTAACAGGTAGGAGGACATTTAATTTCCTCCCGGTGCCCTCAAGGGGAATTAAACACTACATGCAGAGCAATGACACGTTTCCTGACGGCGCATGGCCCTTTCGCAGCCTATCTGTTTCGCTTCGGATTGCACCACACAGACTCATGCATATGTGGGTCAAAAGGTACCATCGATCATCATATGTTCGAGTGTGAAATCACCAAAGACCTACATTTCCGGCCGTATACAGCTAAAAATGCCCAGGTATGGTTGAAACAACTCTAAAAGAGTAAGCTACTACGAAACAAATTTAAAACTGTCATAGACTACCTGGCAATGAACTGCGAAAATCTAAAAGCAATGTAAAAAAAAGTATCATTCAGAACAGTCAAAGTCTTAACAGAGTCTTTTTAATAACTACAGGTAACAAATACCTATCTTTCCGAAGCAACTTTATAAATTCAGCTACAAATTTATTTGATTTTTAATTAAATTTTAATATTTTATAGAGATTTTGGCTAGGCTTATCGATAATAGAATGCTCCATCAATTGAATACAAATGCTGATAGTCATATTATAAGGTATTTCTCCCGCCTTCCTAGCATGCCTTCGTGGTGTAGTGGTTCTGCACGCTGGGCCGGTATTCCAGAGCTCCGAGGTTCGATTCCCGGCGAAGGCGTTTGCTCATTTTTCAACTTGTGTGCTTCCAAAAATACCTAATGTCTCTACAGTGGCTCCCGAACTAAAAAGGGTGTTGGATGATGATTCTCCTCACCCAGGGTTTGGCGATTTTGTTCCCTAAAAACCCCAGTTGCCCTTTAAAAAGGAGGAGTATATAAGGTATTTCTCCCGCTTTCCTAGCGTGCCTTCGTGGTGTAGTGGTTCAGCACGCTGGGCCGGTATCCCAAAGTCCGTGGTTCGATTCCCAACGAAGGCGTTTGCTCATTTTTCCTCTTGCCTGCTTCCAAAAATACCTAATGTCTCTAAAATATAACAGATGGTACACCTGGTGGTAAGTAAGTAACAATGTTGTATACCGAGTCCTTGCGATAGAGAACATTTTCATACCTGTAGAAGTAACCTCTTCAAAGAAGTATGCAAAGGGAGTCAATTTATCTCCTCTCCGTGCTCTCATTGGTTCTTTACCGAGCGCATACCTTCAAATAACAATATCTGCAATTTCATTTCGACTGGCTAAGCAGATAGGTCGCTAGGGATCTATATATTGGAGAAGTTTTTTTCTTATATTTTATCACAAGGTAATTTATCTATTTCACTGATTTTAATTCCTTACAAAGATCAAAATGAATGTACAATTCCGCCTGTTTTGACTCTTTTAATTTGTAATTTGCAAAATGGTAAAAATTGTAAAAGGAAAGCTTAATGGAAGTGTGAAATACTAAACTTCAAGAGCATTTTCAAGTAACTGAAAAATGGGATGAAACTGAACTTTTACTGAGCAACGGGTAGGACGGGACACGGTATTGTCGTGTTCACCACGGAAAGTGCAGACGTTTTAGGTACATCTGAAAATCTGCAATGGTACTTAATATTTATCTCAAATCTAGCGCTAGAAAACTCTGTGTACAATAATAAATATGTCTTAAGAACATCAAGTAATTCATAATAAATCTTCGTAGAAAATATAAAAGTGTTCTCAGAAAATATTTGCATCATAAATGATACCTTACTACAGCATCTGCATCTGATATTAAACACCAAAATGGCCCACCAATGACCGAACGATAAAATCTCTGAACACTAGTTGTTCGGTCCGAGGTTCGAATCCCGCGAACGGGCTAGCTGCATGGGCATTTTCGTCATTTTCCCCAAGTGTAATGTGTATACATGCCAGTTTCCCTTAGAAAGTCCTCCACTAAGGCATCCCACCTTTCCGTGTAGGGCCCTTAGGGCGGAACACGTAAATAATAATAATAATAATAAATGAAAAAAATATATTTCGAATGAGTGTTAGTAGTATAGAAAACGCCAACTAAACATTTCCGGAATTCACAGATACTATTCTAGGAAGTATTACAAACGCAGAAACAGTAATCAGTATCCTGGAACACTTAAATAACATCTAGGAGATCCAAGTTAGCAAACAAGTGTCCTGGAAAATATTAATCAAAATAGAAAGTATCCTACTCTATTGTTTTAAATTTTCCTTCGCGCTAGGTATTTGTAGTAGGTGTTAGAACCCAGCCTCAGCTGTTATTTTTCTTTTCATAGTTTGTCGCTCTAAGAATGGCATCCATCTGATTTTTGTTGTAGTTTCTTGTAGTTCTACGGATTTTGAAAATAAATATGACGCTTTGGAAATATAAAGTTATTTTATTTTAAGTTTATTAGGAGAAAGGAGAACGGGTAGTTCTTGCAAATCTCGAACAGTAGGTGCTGATAAGTACATTCAAATTTAGCAAAAGGTTTAAGAATTCGAGGAATAGCAGCAACCGTGTTGGTAATGCATAAAAAGAAAAAAAAAAGTTTAACATGATTTCAAACTGTCTTAATATGCTTGATCATATATGCAGCTGAGGAATAACATTGATTACTACTACATTTTATGGCTTGTTAATAAGCATGACGAAAATGACCATTAGAAATGAGATTTTTTTCTTGCAATTAGTTTTTAATCCTACATTAAATTAATTAGTAAAATTATATTATATATACTGCTAATTATATTATATATAAAAAGTTTTTTCATTTACTAGAAATTCTACCACTCTAACATTTTTACTTAGTTTTTCAAAACTTAAATCATACAGGGCTTAATTTCTAAAATTAGAAGTACCGGAGCTTTGTGAAGATCAAGAATGCTAAACAAAATTAAAAATATGAAATAACGAATAATGAAATTAAATAAAATACACAGAAATAAATAAGTGAAATTAATGAGAATAACTGAATAATGCATTAAAATGTTAGAACACATGTTTGGGCTCCGGCTGTAACTATAATTTTAACGAAAAACTGATGAATACCTGCGAGAAGCTCCGTCTGAATTTAAACCTTGATTATGCATATTTTATAGATATTTCACTTCGACAGAAACACAGTAATCATCTTAAAGATATATAACTTTTTCTTTATTAACATAAAGTAATGTTAGAAGAAAATAAATGGCAGTAATATTTTTCCTGAATTTGATCAAAAGGCATTCCACAAATAATTGTTTATATTCCTAGAGTAATTTAAACTTTTGGAGTATGAAGAATTACAATTATGATTTTAAATTTTCGTGAGGAAAATTAAAAATATTTCTTTATTTAGCGTATTATAGTTTTAGCTCAAAGCGGCAATTTGCCCAGGAGAACTATTAATTTCGTTTTGGCATATTGCGTTGATTCACTACAAGCATTGTTTCACTTTTCAAATCGTAGCCAAAGTATAAACAATTGCTCCGCTGCAATTGATGCCTGCGGAGAAATTTGCATATTAGTATTTTCGACAGAAACACAGTAATCATCTTAAAGATATATAACTTTTTCTTTGCAAAAGAATAGAGAAAATTGTAATATTTTTCCGAATTTGATCAAAGATTCACAAATAATGTTTATATCTAAGTAATTTACTTTTGGATTTGAAGAATTACAATTAGATTTTAATTTCGTGAGGAAA